CCCCAAAACCCCAAAACCCCTTAAACTGATTTCAAATAAAGAAGTAAAATTGAAAAAATAATGTAACAGATAAATTTAATTTTAATCTAATTCAATAGGAGTCTTCCTATAGATTTTGATTGTTTTTCTTTTTATTATTTTTACGAAATAATTTTTCTCTTTTAATGTCTTTTGTAATTCCTTATAATGCTTCCGATGGAATAATTTTAACTAACAGCTTAGTCCTAATTACAAGGGTTTTCAAATGCGAAATTAAAAATCGAATAGCGATAATTAGACTGATGACCAAAAATACCATGAAAATTCCAAAGATAATCAAATAAATCTCCATTAAGTTTTGCTAGTAATCTCTTAAAGAATTTTTTACTAACTCTTCTAAATAGCTCGAGATAGGTATGAAGAATTTAAAGAGTAAGATAACTGTATCTTGATTTTTTTGTTAAAACTCATGAACAGATAAAAAATCACTTGTTCTCATCCACTGTTTATTATCAAAACTTTGAAATGCAACAAACTCTTTTTAGATAAAATAGTATAAATTCATGACAACGTTAGTCAAGCCATTTTTAAATTCTCCATGATTGTATTCTATACATTACTAAAGTATATCTGGCTGATTTTAAAATACTATTGAGCAAACCTTTTCAGAATTTATCTCATCTATATATTTGCTTATTTATCTGAGTTATTATGGTGGACTCTTTTGATAATTTTAAATTGAGCTTTCATAGGACAAACAAGTGCTATTGAAATACTCATATATAGTTTACTAATTAAATCCTATTCTAATTGTTTTGTTTTAAATGAATGTTTCCATCATAAAATTGAAAGCATTTGTTAGACAGGTGGGCCTGCGAGAATAATTAGTGATAAACTCAAATGATTCATTGGAACTCTCAAAAAGTCTTGCAGAGATAACGTAGAAGGTAATGTAGAATATCAATATTATTATAGAGAATCCGAATATCAGAGATATCTTTTATAATTTTCTCATTCTAAAGATTGTTTAAAGGTCCTTTTATTATTAATTGATTGTTTATTAGTCAATTTCAAAAGATTTTTCTCTTACATATTTAAGATCATCTCTCTTTTATATTCCTTAATTTGTTAGATTATTTAGAGTATTTATTTTATCTTCTTAAGTAAATGCTTAGGGTTCTAAGTTTTGAAATCTAAAATACTATGAGTTCAAAGATGGACTATGTTCTGATAGGGAATTCGCTAAAACTTTATCATTATTTTCTTGATGTTTCAATATACTAACAGAGGAGTTATCAAGTTTTGAGTCATCATTATTTTGAGATATATCATCTTTCATTTCCCTAATATAAGCTAAAGATCTAAGTAGAATAGATTTTTATCTTTCTTTATTAGTTGAAATATAATTATAAGAAGAGTAATTTACTTCCTCATTTAATAATTCTAAATCTTTAGCATCATATCGAACTTAATCTATATTCTTTTCATCTTCAAGAACTTTTTATTATTCATTCCATATATCAAGAAATTCTTTTACATGTCCTAATGATTTAAATTTCGTTTTTCTTTTAATGTGCATCCATTGAATCAGAATATGCTTTGCTTCATTATCAAGTGATGAGGTTACAGGTATCATTCCAATTGCAGATACTAAAGTTACAGAAATGCAAGTTATTGTGATTACAAGTACTAAATATCTAAAATTTTCTCCTTTACTTTAGGACTATTCTAAATAAAGATCTGACAAAAGCAAAGAATATGATCTAATATCTTGCATTCCATTTATTATAAGGTAATAAGTATCCTTTTAATTCTAAGTAGGTAAAACTGGCAAATTTCGAAGCCTAAACTAAGATAAATCTTTTCTTATAACTTTCTAATCCTATGTAATGAACTTCTAGATTTTTGAAATATATTGCTATAAGGCAATAGGAAAGGTAAAGTTTTTTGTCTAAATCTATTAATTTTCTCCTAGTTCTGCAATTCTTACAACTTATTCATTCATCATCGATCTTAGTTCAGAGTGTGTTTACTTATTTTCATCAACAACTTCATTTGTGTCTATTTAAAGCTTGTCGAAAAATTAATCCATTTATTTCTGCAGATAGGTTAAATCAAATCTGACTTGATCTTCAGGAATCTTAACTGTTGACACTATCATTCTAAATGCTAATCTTAGGTAATTCAAATTCCCAGATAAAGTAATAGAATGAGTAACAGTTTGAGTATCAGCTTAAAACTATTTATTTTAAATCTAATTTACTGCCAGAACTGAGAATGAAGTACCGATTAGTATTAAGAAAAAGATGTAAATAGCCTTTTTTAGATTTTAAAGTGACTTAGGTATAGATTTTTCATCTATCTATTATTTCTAACGAAGAGTATCACTTATTCCACTAGAATTTGATGCAGAAATTGATCCTGATCCTGAAATAGATCCTGCTTCAAGATCAATATCATTCATATCTAACATATTTTGCTTATTTCATTTTTAAATTTACTTCTCCTCCTCATCCATAAAAATTTTCTTTGTCATTCTTTTTTTGTTATTAGTTTAGAAATCTGATTGAACAAGTATAATATACTCTTTGATTATCATCTTATTGGGCAAATTATAGATATTCTATTAAAGAAAAATATCTAGATAGTTTTCGCTCATATTTTTTGTTTTATATTATGAACACGAGATTTTATTTATCATTTATGCTTGTACTCCCTCTTTAAGTTCAATATCTGTAAATTTTGAAAGTTCAATGATGACATCATGAACAAATATTCTAGCATCGTCAAATGAAAAAAAATCTGTGTCAATAAATTTATCAATAAAGGATCTCGAGGAATTCATGATAATACCTTGCTCATCACAAAGCAATATTTGAGCCTCTTTAAGATTAAAAGTAAAATTAGGAGTTATAATTTCATTGCTAGAATTGAAAATTCCTTAAATTACAAGATCTTCCTTTTGTGAAATTCTGAGAACAGTATCAATCTATCCAGCCAAAATAGTAAGATCCTTCTTTAGCATCCAAACTCTTCGTTGGGATTTCTCAAAGTTTGATTGAAATTGAATTCTATTTAAAAATCTATCTAATATTTTATCATGAGAATCTGCATATTCCCTAGGTATAACTGCACTCAATGGTCTGTCTTAAATATCTTTAGCTTGATTATAGCCCAGAGTTTTATAGAATGTTTTGTTCACATATAGTATTTTATTTGTTTATGTAGGTAAACAGGAAACCAAAATAATTGCCTGCTATTCTTAGTTTTGCAAATAATGGCTTTGTTTTTTAATCGATAACTTTTACCTGATATTGTTGAGCAAGTTGCTATAGTATTGAGATTCCAATTCAAAATTCATGATTTTTTCAAGAAATTTTACATGAATTACTACAGCTTCCTCATTGTCGTTCTAATTTTCAATGATTGATTCAAATATTTATTTTGTCTAGAGATATTACTCTACTATTGTGTTTCCTAATGCTATCAAGTTCATTACAATATAATCAGTTTTACTAATTTCAGTCCAGAATCTTTCAATCGTAAGAGAAGTTTAGAGGACATTATTTTTGTATTTAACAAACAGTTCATCTATCCTTAGAATTTAATCTAAATTGAGATAATCTCTGCTTTTCTTTTATTCCTACTCATCTGCTTTTTGGAATATCATAGATTTTAGATACTGGAATGTCATCAAATCATCATCATTTATTGATTTCTAGATACTTAAAAGTTTGTATAAAGCTGGGAAAGTTTGATTTTATACATTAATTCTTAAATAGAGGTCTATGTATTAAATTAGCTTAGAATCTATTTGTTTGTTGATTTAGTTTATATAGATAGTGATTAGTAAATTATTTCTAGTGTCTATCTTAGACTACATTCGCTATATCTCATTCATATGTTTTATAGTTGTATCCCCTTTCATCAATCCTAGCTAACAACTGCAATTTACATCTTCGCATAAAATAATGTGCTCCTTAAATATGCTTTCTAGTATAAGTTAAGAGTAATCGTTTTTAACATCATTAATGAGTAAATACAGCTTCATTATTTCTTATTGTCCCTCTTCTTCATTTTTAATTGTTCTAAGATTTTTACTTTTGTGTTTTAACTAACTCTTCTTCAAATATCCTGCAATGCTTGACAAAACTATTGAAATAAATACGAGGATAAGGATTGAAAAGTCATTTTCGCCAATTATTAAATCTGACAATACTGATATGAAAAGGAAAAGCCATTGTGTTGTGGATATGAATATATTTATATTTTCAATCTATTGAGAGATGTATATCACATTTGTGAAAATAAGCCAAATTTACAGAGTAGATAAAAACAATAGAGGAAGATTTATGAGGTAAAATGTCATTTAGTCTATTAGCACATCCTCAACTACAAGAGCTAGCATTGACAATAAATGTAGGCATTTTGTGATAATATAATATCTAGATTTAGTTTTTGCCCAAGGTTGATCAGAGCAAGGTAATGTTTATCTTTGATATTTCATTTATAAATAGAGAATGATGAGCACTAGTAATAAACCTACAAGATTCGTTAAGAATCTTGTTACATCTGACCTAACTTAAATAAAGTTTTCATCTAGGTAAGACCTTATTGCAATTATTTGAATTCCCAAAAAATAAACTCCTAGATGTCTACCAACAATAAGAAGTTACAAAGTTACGATTCTATAAATTTTGTTCTTGTTCGATTTAATAGAAAAGTCCTCCAGATTTTCATTTTTCTGATTTATAAGCAGGAAAAATAGGCATATCAAGAAAATTAAGCAATATCCATTTACAATGTCTGTGATATATAAGAATGATTCTTGATTAGCAAAGAATTTCAGAAATATGTTAAAATTCATTCAGTTTTGTTTACTTAACTCACCTTCTATATCCTTGAATCTTAAAACTTATTCCATTGGTAGCATAATAACCAAGAGTAGATCAAATATAAATAAAACTGAGAGCATTCTAGCTGATACCTTTGAGTTGATGAGAATGCTAAACCCAAATTTCTTTTGCTTTTGATTGATGTTTGAAATCATTAGTAATTTATAATCTTTAATTTTTTAAAATATCTATGATATAAAATTACTATGCAAGCATGCCTTTTCCGATATTTTATTAAATTTATTCATCTCCTAATTAAATGAAATCTAGCATGAGGGGTTTTGGGGTTTTGGGGTTTTGGGG